TAAAAGAATATAAAATACTTTTCACTACGCTCTCTGGACTTTCATCATTTTTTTCAAAATCAACAAAAAGAATTCACGCACTTGATCAAAAAGTCAAAAAAAGATTTCCGTCTGTGGCTCCAACACGATGGAATTATAATAGTAGACTTATTGAAATGATGTCTAAGTACAGAGAAGAAGTTTTAAATCTCATAATTACGATCGTAGAAAATGGTGAGAAATGGGATAGTGAAACGTTATTGTGCGCTAAAGGATTTTGTCAAAAAGATCAAAAAGGCAAAGGGTGACTCAAGTATCAGCTGTAGATAGAAAAACAAATTACCGAAAACTCTATTTTGAAATCATCGACGTATTAATTTCAAAAACTAATGAAAGATTTGCAGAGATAACTCAACTGACTTTTTTTTCTTTATTAGATTTTTCAAAATTTGAACAGTATGTCAATAAATTTCCTACAAATTCAATGGACTCGTTGAAAGATAAATATGGTGACATTTTGATTTTGCAATTTTACGAAGTGAACTTTCTATTATATACTCATCTACTGAATTTCATAAAGCAAACATTCATGAACTTTGGATGTATCTCAAATCTACTGACTTATCAGTTAGCTTACCACAAGTTACAAAATTAGCATCATTGATTGTAACCATACCAGCAACAAGTGCAGGCGCTGAACGCTCATTTTCCTGTTTGAAAAGAATAAAGACGCATCTCAGAAACTCCCAGTCCCAAAATAAACTTTCAGATCTGTCGCTTTTAACAATTGAGAAACAATTGTTGACTACACTTCAAAATCAAAATTCATTTTATGATTATGTAATTGACGATTTCACAAAAAAAACAAGAAGAATCGATTTGATATATATAAATAAATGTTATTATTATTTATTAGAAGTTTTTTTTTTTTTTAATAACATTCTAAAATATGTAAGTAAATTAATTTTTGGGGGGGGGGGGAAATTATAATATGTACTACTGCTTACACACTCACAACCCACGCCACGCCACTGGGTACAAGGTATGTGCAAAAAATATAATAAATGTAATAAATAAATGAGTGTAAAAATGTTTTTGTTATGTAGCGTGTCTGTTGACAACACGTAAATATGTGCCTGTTGGTCACAAATGAATCAGATGACTAATAATTATAATAATAAAGACAATAATTGATACTATAAAACTCACAGTTCAAACAGAATGAGGTGTACACCTAGCCAGCTGCAACCAAGACCTATATAATATAACAAATCACACACACAAACGACAATAACAATAATATAAAACACAATTCATTTAAATTAAATAAATAATTAAAATTAAGACTTTTGATGCAATTGCGCGTGAAAAAATATTGCATAAAAGTATAAAACCACGTCAAAAATTTTTGCTCGGTCACGTCTCCTTGATGTCACGGCTGAACCACAACAACCCGTAGACACGTAAAATATTGATAAATTAATTATAATAATACCTGTTAATTAGATGAATTTGGAAGCAGGACATGAGATAAATGCTTATCGTGGTCTTGCACGTCGACGTTACGTAATAAACGTCCGGCCGATGAACAATAATAAATTGATCTAAATTATTATTATTTTTTTTTTTTTTATTGATCGTTTACAACTTCAGCAACAAAGGCCATTAGTTATTTTATTTTTTTACATTTTGTTTGCCTACATATTTAAATTTGGTTATAAATATTGGTTTGCTTGAGGAAGTTAATTAAATCTGCGTTGAGTTGGTGATTGGCTCCAAGGGTTGTATCGAGGTTGTGTGATATCCCGTGTTTGATCCTTTCTTGATTATACTTTATGCAGTCCGATATGATGTGCTTGACAGTGAGATTTGTTCCGCAGGTTGTGCAGATGGGGGGGGGGGTTCCTCTTTGGCCATGAGGAAACCGTGTTTGATTCTAGTGTGTCCTATCCGTAATCTATTTATTACTGTTTCTTCTTTTCTTTTGAGTGAGGGGTTATACCATTGGGTAGTGTCACCTTTGATTTCGTTGAGTTTGGTATTTTGTTTGGATTAGATGTTTTGCCATTTGTCGTTGGTGATTATTTTAATGTATTTTTTTTGTGTCATCGTATGATATTTGTTCTTTCAAAGGAGTATCTGCATTATTTATTGCGAGTGAAGCTTGTTCGTCTGCTATTTCGTTTTCTCTTATTCCTGCATGTCCGGGTATCCAAAAAATGGTTATTTTTTTCCGTGTTCATATGCTTCGTTTAGTTTGTTTTGAATTTTTGTTGCAATGTCCCCTGGATTGAAATGGTTTTGGATGCTTTTATGGTGCTTAGTGAGTCACTAAGAATGATGAACTTTGAATGCTCTACTTCAAAAATGATCTCAATAGCCTTTAGAATAGCCATCGCTTCTGCTGTGAATATGGAACAATTGTGGGGTAGTTTGTACAGTATTTTTTTGGGGGGAATATTATGGATAGCCCGACCCCTTCATGTGTTTTAGATCCGTCTGTATACACTTCTTGGTTGTCTTTATAGTTTTCTATTATACTTTTTAAATGGTTTCTATATAAATTGTGCGGTGTTTGTTGTTTGGGTAGTGAACTGAGCTCTGTATTAATTGGGTATTTTTGTGTCCAAGGCGGATGGGTGATTAGTTCATTGGTTATAATATGGGGTAGATTAATTTTGTTTTCTTTGATTAGTTTTATGAGATCATTATTGTTTTTTTCGTGTATGGTGATATTGGACCTGGCGCATCTTGCTGTGAATTTAAGGTGTATCTCTATCCTTTTTATTTCGAGGAGGGGCTCCCCGGCTATATTGTAAATGCTAAAAATTGGACTACTTCGAAATGCTCCTAATGCAAGTCTCAGTCCACTGTTGTTAACACTTTCTATAAAGTTAAGTTTGGAGTTAGATGCAGTTTTATATAATATTGCTCCGTAGTTTGTTTGGATTGAATTAAGGATTTATGAATTTTTATTAAGGTGCTTGTGCTTCCTCCCAACGAAGTATGTGTATGTATTTTCATTATGTTGATTGCGTTAGTGGTGTTTGTTTTTAGATATTTTATGTATGGGGTCCACGATAGCTGTCTATCAAACAAAACGCCAAGCATTTTCACTGTGTTTTTTTTTGAATTAAGGTTTTATCTATAGTTATTTGCAGCTTGTCAACTTTTCTTCTTTTTGTGAAGATAGTACAACTTGATTTCTCGGGTGAGAAACTGAAGCCTGTTTTCTTTGACCATTTTTCTAAATTATTGGTGGTTGTTTGCAATTGTCTTTGGACGGTGCTTTTATTATTACTTCTGCACCAAATGTTGAAATCATCTGCGTATAGATTACATTTAATTGGTGGTAAACAATTTTTCGTTATGTCATTGATTGCTATAAGGAAAGAGCGTAACTGAGAGTGCCGACCCTTGAGGAACTCCATTTTCTTAAATAAACTCAGTAGATAGATAGTTGTTTGCACTTACCCTAAATTTGCGGTTTTCTAGGAAGTTGGTAATTAAGTTAAGAAAGTTTCCTTTACTTATTATTTGTTCAATTTGATTATAGTATTGTGTCTCCATGTGCTTTCATACGCTTTGGCAGTATCGAGGTTTATTATTCCCATCATTTATTTATTGTTGAACGTTTGGGTAATTTCTTCTTTAATTTCAATGAGATTGTTAATTGTGCCGTGGTATTTTTCTGAATCCGTTTTGTTGTAAAGAAAAGAAAAGGTTTTTTTCCAGTAGTCAGTTTAGCCTAAAAATTATGATTTTTTTCTAGTAATTTGCACATCGTGTTGAGGAGTGTAATTGGTCTATATCCTTCAGTGTTGAATTTGTTTTTTTTTGGTTTTAGTATTGGAATTACTGTTCCGCATTTCCAAGTTTCTGGCTATACTCCTTCCCGTAAAATTTTATTGTACAGTGATGTTAGTACTTCAAGTGTTCTTTTTCCATAATAATAGATAAATTCATATGGTATTTGATCTGGTCCAGGACTTTTACTTTTGCTTTTTGTTATGAATTGGCTTATCTCTTGTGAAGTTATAGAGTGGTTCATTTGAATTTGTTTGGTGTGATTTTCATCTGCTGTATTTATTATGGTTTCTTTTTCGCATTGTTGTTTGAATGTACTAAATTGAGAGGTGTAATTTTGATGACTACTGTTTTTGTAAAAGTATTCTCCCATTTCGTTTGGTATTTGTGCTGGGTTATTTATAAGTTCATTTGTATTTTTGTCATATAAGTTTATTTTATTATTTCTACTGAGCCCTTTAAGGGATTTAATTTTGTTCCAAATTAGTTTGCTGTTTACCTTGTCATTGATGCTGCTGGTAAATTTTTTCCATGATAATTTTTTGCTTGTTTTCATTAAAATTTTTGATTTGGCTCTAAGTTTTTTAAGGTTTATAAAATCTTTTGGGTTTTTGGTTCTTTTGTAATATTTAAGTGCTTCCTTTTTTTCAATAATGGCTTTTTTTATATCAAGGTTCCACCAAGATACCCTGGGTTTTAGGTTTTTTGTTTTTGTTTTTCCAATTGTTAGTTCATCTATTTTTACTATATGTTTTGTTAAGACTTCTGTTAACTGATTTATATTTAATGTTTCAATGTTTTTGATTTTTGATATTTCCATTTCTAACTACAAAGCCCACCACCTGTCAAAAGCGAGTCATGGATTCCACGCTGGATTTGCCCCAAAATGGTGGGGTCCAGTGAGGTTGGAAAAGCGGGTAAGAAAAAGAGTATTCCTAACCAACCAGCAACCACCCCGGAAAATCCATGTATCGTGCCTAAAGCACGCAAACACAAAAATAAAAATTAACAATGTTTTTGCCCCTAGAAACCATGAACAGACACACAAGACACCAGCTGACGCCCGGTTAGTATTTTTTTTTATAAACACTAAATATAATATTAATTTATGATGTATTTATATTAATAAATTATGCTAAACAACGTTATTGAATGTTCGAATCTACTTTTCATTTACTGTATACTTTTGATAATTAATTTGTAAATAATAACTTTTAGGATTTATTTGGTGTTTCTAAAGATTCTTTAAGATCAGAAATGATGGTTATCAAAAATGTCTTGAAAGTTAATGTTGATTTGGAAGTTCTGCAAAATCACTTAAACTCATTGAATAGCAAACAAATCTTTCCAAATTATTACAAATTATTTAATGTAGCAATAACTTTGCCAATCAATTCCGCTACTTGTGAAAAGTCATTTTCCGCAATGAGGAGGCTGAAAACATGGATGCGAACAACGATGCTCCAAAAAAGATTTAGAAATTTAGGGATAATTAATATTGAAAAAGATATCAATATTGACAGGGTCTCACTTTTAAACGACTTTGCCAAATCTAATAGAAGAATAAATTTAATATTGTAACCAATTATCTAGTTATTAATAAATATATGTGCATTAATAAGTAATAATTTTATACTAGTAGGTAGCTAATAAAAAAAAATATTTTTATTTGATGTTGAGGAGGGGATTTTTGTTGAATATATTAAAGGGCTTGAGCCCCCGCCAATGTAACTCCCTATTTGCGCCTATGGTCGCGACCCAATTTCGGATCGCCAATAATTTTAAATGGGTCGGATAAAAATTTAAAACGTTAGAATAATTTTTTTATTTTTAAGTCTTATAAATAATAAATGAAACCTCATGTACGTTGGTTATCACGGAGAAAAATTTCAACGAGATTTTTTGAATTAAGAACTGAAATAGAAGTATTTTTATGAGAAAAAAAATTCACTGTTTTCCATCCATTTTCAAGATATAATTTGGTTGACAAAAGTTGCGTATCTATCAGATATTTTTTCGTTATTATATGAGTTAAATTTGAGTATGCAAAGGTCATAAACTAATATGTTTACATGTTGTAATAAAGATATTAACTAAAATCAAAACCAAATCAAGAAACAAACTTGATGTCGAACCCACGATGCGTATTTCACTTACTAACTCTAAATTGATTCATTGGTGAAGCAACATCAAGACCAAGGAAGTCATTAAATTAAAAATTATTTAAAAAACAACACAATATTATTAAAAGAAATGTTTATTTTTAAATATAATGTAATGAATATCATGACTTGTTATGAATACAAGTAATAAGAGTAAAAAATGTTATTCAATTAAGAGTACCATATAGTTATTTTTTATTCTGCCATTGAATATTATTTATAAAAAGGTTGCAGGAAAAATTTGGTAAATATCTTGGGTTGCCACTACACAAAGGATAAGAACCGATGTTATAAATTATAAAATAATGAATTTGGTTTTGGTATATATATACATTAGATGTATAGTAAATCTGAAATTATTACTATTATTTTTTAACCAAAACTATGTGATGTTCACTGATTTCTGGAAATTACAACTGATCCCGTCCCTATAAATTTAATCTGCCTTGGTCTAAATAAAATACAAAAATTTGTATAAAAAAGTGAGTTGCTTTTTAAAAATTCAATACATATCAGTAGCTGACATCAATTGAATTCAATATTTTAAGCATTGACTTTCAAATGTAATTAATATTATAAATATCCCAGTAAACATTTCATGTGTGACATTGGGTATAAACATTAACAATAATGCAATTTAACAAAACATTTTTAATTTTTTCTAATAAGTACTCGAGATGAGAAAAGTAAAAAAAGTGAATACTTAAAATCAAGTATCAAATACAAAGTTTTTATTTAATTCAATACAAAAATTATAGTATTATAACTTGTACAGTACACATATTATATATATTTGTACTATTAATCTTTACAAAAAATATTTTATAATTAATAGGTATTTATTGGAATTATATCATAGAAGAACATCATTCTTTATAGTTATTAATGTACAACATGAATAATAATAAAATGATAAAATACTAATTTAACATAAAGATACAATGTATAAACATAATTAAAAGAATAATATACAACATTTAACCATAAGGCAAAGATCAATAAATATTTTAATAAAAACTCAGAGACAAATAAATAAAGTGCATTATTGATGTGAAAATAATATTTATTTAGTTAGTATATGACGCTATGTGGATTTAAGATATTAGAAGAAAACATTTTTCCATAAGATTTGAGACGGATACTTAAAAATCTGTTAGTAATTAAAGTAATAAGTAAAATTTTGTGTGGTTTATCTAATATGGAAATATTTTCACAATTTAAGTCCTGAAAAATGTTGTGATCTAAAGAAAATTTATTTATGATTTGACGTAATATTATAATATTTAAGTTGGGAAAATTTAATCTTTTTAAATTGTGAGTATAATATAAAAATAATTTTTCAGTTTCTACAATAATTTTAAATACATCTTCAGACCCTGATATTAAACCCTCTTTGGTTTTTAAATTGAGAAACAGATGAATGACTATAACTATGGTGAGATATATTTTGAAATAAACATGTAATACATGAATTACAACTCAAATTATTTACGATTCCTCTGATGATATATCCTAGTATATAATACAAAATATTATTTTTAGCTTCTGCTAATGACGTATTTAAAGTATTTAGTAGTACTAATCTGTTACAAATGTCCTCATCCAATTCTTCATTACATGTTATCTCATCAATATTTTTTTGCTTTCTGTACCATTTAAGGGGGCTGGAAGTGCTTATTTAATAAGGGGTAAAATTTAGGCAATTTGTAATCACGTCGTCACCACCCGATGTATTTGTGTTAGTCGTAAATGATTATTAGTGTGAGTGCGGTTCATAATCTGTACCGCCACCTTCCTCTTTGTCATAGTCACATCATTATCACAAT